GGTCTGAGACCTATACACTGCACACGTGCAGTTCTATATATGCAACCCTACTCTAGAGAGAGAAGTGCAGAGAGAGTCAGAGTGAGAAAGAGATTTTTATTAATATTAACTTTTTTTTTTAATTTTCATTCGTTTTGTCTTTGGTAGGAGAAATAAATGACGATGGCCAGATGAGAGAGAGCGAAGGAGAGTGGATAATTAATAGTACTAAAGTGATAAGAGGGAGGAAAAAAGTTATGAAAATTAAAAGGAAAAACAAAAAGATGGTGAAAATAAAGGTCAGCAAGAGTTTGTATCTATATATGATTTGCAGCTCATAAATAGGAGGCCAAATTTGGTGCAACAATTGCCACACGCTTCTATCGATTTTGTCTTTCTCCTCCTCCCCTTCTCACTCGCAACACTCAACGCCAGAACAGACTTTTGTCACATTGTAATTGTAAGGAAAAAAGAATTACTTTTTTTTGCCGGTGCATTTTTCGTAAAATAAATTAATTATAATAAAATTTTGAAAAACTAATATACAAGGTGATTGAGAAATTAACTCTAAATATGAAAAAGATTAGCTTAAGTATCTCAAAGATTGTTGGATTCACACATATTCTGTCTTTAAAGAATGTTGCAGCAAGGTAAACAAGTTATAATCATGCCCTAACCATGTTAGAACTCTTTTAGAACGGGCAAAGTGCGTAGGGACGCTGCACACGTTGCACGCGCAAGACATTTTCCATAGACAAAACACCGATGATGCTCTAGTAGTTGAGCATGACGAGCTCGCGACCTGGACGTATATTTTGGTTCTGGATACAGTGGCGGACCTACATCGGGGTCCGTAGGGGCACGGGCCACTGTAGAATTTTTTAGTAATACATAGTATATGTATATGTCATATGTATAAATGTGTTATTATATTGACATAAAAAAATACATGTTATTAATTATTATGCAAAATTATTTCAATATAAAAAAATTAAAAGAAAATGTTTAGAATTATTTAACTTTCAATAGTATGTTATTTTTTAAGTTGTGGAATTTATACTTGTGATATACTCAACTTCTTGTTTTTTTCCTTTTTCCTTCCAAAATGCATAAAAAACAAATATTATACATAAATGTATATACTACATAGGGATTGGATCAAATGTGTCCTTATTCTTAAAATGAGATGTGAGATTAAACCCTAACTATTAAATAAGAAACAAGGTACCTGGTCAAGATTTGTATTTTTATTTTTTTAATTGCTTCAATATTGATTTGACCATTGACCGTTGACTATAGTTGTGCCCCCGTTATCCTTAAAGTCTGAGTCTGCCCCTGTCTGGATAGGTTCAAACTCGGTTTTGGACAACTAGACACATTCCGAAATAAGTCTCTTGACGCAATGATTTCTTGAAGATGCCCAAAACATCTATAAATGCCCACATGACTTGAAATTTATTAAGATTAAAGGCACTTAACATAAATATAAGAAATTGAGATAGAACATAATATAGTTCATGTTCACCTTCTGTTCATTATTATTTTTTAATTTCTTGATAGTTCTAACACTAATTTCATCTAGTGTACTTAAAGTGTCATTATCTAAGATAAAATCCGTATGTAGAAGATGTTTGTCGAAAATCGTGGACATTAATTGGTGGCAATTTCGTTTTACGGAGAGAGTGTTTCACATGACTCAAATTTATTTATTCCTTTGAACTTTTTGTTTGAGTTTGTTTGAGGATCATATTCGTGGTTCATGTTCGTTGTTTGATCTATATGTTCATCATCATTCTCCATTCGTGTCGTATATTGTCCTATTTAGGGATACAAGTACGTACACATATATCCAACAATTGTTAGATTTTTTTTTTTTTTTTTTAGA